ACGTATCATTGGCAAACTTTTTTTTGTAAATAAGCGGAGTGGTTTTAGAGGCACACTGGATCTCCCTTGGGACAGTTTTCAGATGCCAACTGGTGAAACGTTGGCCATAATGAGCTGATTAGTTACGCGTTGGACCAAGCAGACGCATCTCTGTGGATTACTGGAGGGCCCAGAGTCAACCTTGGGACCTTTTTGTTGCATGTCATTCCCCCTCGCTCTCTCCTCATCAGGGTCCATTCCAGGATTTGTTAAATGAGGTGTCACAGGAGGGGGTGGGGGTTGTGGGGGTGGGGAAGACAAGAACAAGAACCAGCCAGGGAAAACTGAAGGCAACCCTCCCCCTGCCCCTCATTGCTGACGCCATTACTACCTTTTTTCATTGTTAATCTACTACATCTGTTATTAGTTGGCATTTTGATCATTTTTCATCTCACTGCTACCAGTATACCGTATGGATCATTTCTGTCCTATGCATTGAGCGTATTGTAAATATTATATGTCCACTCCGTACACATGACATCTGTTGACATCCCAGGAGAGGGTTCCCTCTTCTGCCGCCCCCCTTCACCCCCCCACCCCCAAGTTTTTTCCTTCTTAGCCCTCCCTTTGCCAATGAGAGGGTGGTGGCACAGAGGACGTTGCATGGGTAAAGATTGTAAAGCCTTCCGAGGCCAATTTGGGGTTTTGGGCTATTCAAATGAAGTGGAATTGAAAGTCAAAATGTTCATGGCGGCTGCCTCGTGGACGTGTGCAAGAAGCCTCAGGCTTGGTATAGTGTATAGTGCTACATGTTCCTTCTAAAGGTCCCTCTGGTTGTTTAATAGGCGCTTATAATAGCACATCTGTTACGGGGAAGAGTGTGGGCGGGGCTTACAGTCCTAAATAGACAGGCCACGCCCTCAGGTCTGGTTGATCAGGGTTTCTGATTGATGTCATTCACGAGAGAGGAAAAGGATCTTGATCTTACAACAAACACAAGTAAGGCGGTATGCGCCAAACCCTCAAGACGGAATCGCATTACAGATAAACTCTGATTGGCAACGTGGACGGCTGATTTGTCTCTCGCTCCACAACCGTTAGCGCTGTGAATTTGCGTCGTCGGTCAAAAGGATTTCATTAGGAGCCGCTGGATACTCTGTATGTCACCGTGGTCCGCCATCAGCACCCTAATTTGACACGGACGTCAGCAGCTCCTCAACTGGTCCAGTCCGTTTTCTGTCATGTCAGCATTTTAACAGATGACACGGATGTGTCTGTTTCATCTCCACGGTCCAATCTGTCAGGAGGTGACCCAAAGGGGCATCTTGTTCACTGTCGATGACTGTAGGTGTCGCTGAGAAGAGGGTCTATTTTTTTGTTTTTCTCTTTTGAGCTTGTGATGTCAATTTTAAGCTGATTTGTTTGGAATGTTTCTTAATGTAGAACAGATGTACCTCCTCTGCCCTTGTTTGCCTGCTTCTTTGTTCCTTCATCTTTTGATGTTAAATCCATATTGAAGTAGTAATGCGTCAACTCAAAACAAGACACCGTGTTTAGATTTTTGTTGTTGTTTTTTTAAATCCAGGGCAAATATATTTTTTCAATACTAATCGCAACTAATTAAGAACTTTCAGACATTTTTGACGGCGATGCACTAGTGTGATCTTGTTCTTTTCAGGACATTTTATTAGTCCAACGTAAAGTCATCATTTTATGACCAAAAAAAAAAACGTTTGGAAAAAAAAGCGGCTTTTCCATTGAGTCAGTTTGTTATATTTGACTTCATGTGTCTCAAATATTTATATGGCTTTTGAACACCGCACTTTAAAATACAAATAGTCAAAAACAAGTGAATAAACCACTTTTTCCTTCTTTTTTTTTGATATGCAGCATTGAAATAATATAACCATGTGGTTTCCTGTCTGTCCGATGAGTAATCAAACGACATGATGTCCAAGAGCAAACCTATACACTTCTGATAAAAATCCTCTATATTAATCTGTCTGTTTTCATTGATACAAGATAAACTTCATGGTCACGCAAAGATCCGCTTTGTTTATTTGAAATCCAAACAACAAAACGGACTAAAATAATCCGTTTCAGATGGAACGGTTGAGTTAAGTATAAAACAATGTGCTCTTTGTGCCGCAATCGGTGGAACGTGGAGCTCAACTCTGTCGACATAACATCGAAGAACGCAGCGAGACACGCGAAGAAAGGCTAGAAAGAAGAAAGAAAGACTATCATTTTTCCCCGAACACGGCGAGGGGGGGATCCCTGATAGACGGGGAGGAAACAAGCGTAATTAATTTGACCGCCGTGTCATTTGAAACGTCATTAGCAGCGACAAATCATAAGACGGTTAAAAGATGAGAACAAAAATAAATGAAAGGGCCTTGTGGTTCATGGTAAGAATTAAATTGATGGTTGTCAGCGTGCATGAGCAGTGTGTGTGTTGCCAGGATATGGGTACATGCATATGCACCGTGTGTGTGTGTGTGTGTGTGTGTGTGTGTGTGTGTGTGTGTGTGAGATTGGGGCAGGGAGAGTTAGTGAGTGGGCATTTGTGTGTAATCATGTGCGTCAGGCCGTCATGAATGGTGTGTTTGAGACAGAGCGGAGTGTGGAGTTCCTCGGGCTGGACCAAATTGGAAACAGAAAAACAAACATTCCCTAGGAACCCCTGCTCTGCAAACCCCCCCACCTCGGTCTGCCGGCTAGTTGCGCAGTTCAACCTGTCTGGGACAATGTAACGGTCTATAGCCGGACCGGACCACACACACTCGTGGCGGTTGGGGGGGGGGTTGGAGCACAGGAGGAGTCGGCAGATCTCAGGCGTAATGACAGTTGGAAAAACAGACAGAAGACGCATATGAAAATGACTGAGGGCTCAGTGATGGATTGATGGGAAAGACGGCATGATGCCGGTGGTGTTGGGGGGGGGGGGTTCTAGTTGGAGTGTTGACATTAGATTTGGAAATCCGAGTTGTTGCAGAGAGGGAAAACCGAGAGACAGGGAATGAAAAAAAAAAGGAAGAAAACAGATGAGTCGAGTGGAGAAACAAAGAAAAAAGAGCGTAAGGAGAAAAGCAGAAGGAGGGAAGGAGTGATTTAAGTAAATGAGTAAGCTGCCTGAGTCAGAGCTCCACGGGGAAAATCTTTGGAGCCACACTCACTCCTTATGCAAAAGAAAACTGCGCTCCCCTTTTTCTTTTACCGTTTAGAGCACCACCGCTGATTTTTCTAAATGATTTTGTGGTGATTTTTAGGTAATAACCGCAGGCCTGTGTGTCACGTGTGACGGGCGGGATTTCACGCTTTGTATCTTACATCCTGGAGAACTGATCACAATGAAGAGTGTGCACTTTGTGTTTATCTGGTGTTTTGCGTTGGGTCGGTGTAGCAGGGACATACCAGATGTTCCCAATGAGGACACCTAACAAGGTCACATTGGGTCTCAGAATAGGTTTCATCCCAGACGTCTACCGACTGTATTTATATCCTCAAAAACACGGTTTTAAGAGGGGAGGGACTCTTAAAATGACTCAGAATTTCAGCAGTGACTCACTATGTGCTTCACTTTTCATGGAAGCAATCGTTTTTTTTCCTTTTCAAACAGCATATATCCTCTTTCAAATAATGACGCGCTCCAGTTCTCAAACGGCTGGTGTGTTTGCTTGGACTATAGATAGAAAATAAAGTGAGACCTGGATGTGGATGTGGTGAAGGACCACAGTGAACCAGGTGAACCACTCAACAGGTATCCTGGAACAGTAAATACCACAGCGCTCACTTTGCTTGTGCTGTCTTGTTCAATTATACCCTGGAAACATAAAATAGTTCTGTCATGTCCAAGGAGGGACTGTATGATATGGACACTATTGGAATAACAAAGGTGATAAAACAGGCACCCACGTGTGTGTGTGTGTGTGTGTGTGTGTGTGTGTGTGTGTGTGTGTGTGTGTGTGTGTGTGAGAGAGACACACACACACAAGTCTTTGAGACAAGTCTTTGACACACACACACACACGCGCGCTCTTGTCGGACTGACCCGAGGAAACGACTTTGTATAAATACAGACTCAGATTTAGATTTGCGGTGAGAGGGAGAGAGGTGAGCTGGATGGAAAGAAGAAGGGGTGGCAGAGGGAGGGAGGGGGTACAGACGCACAGGGTGTGGTGATTTTTGTGGTTGGGGCAACAAAAGGGGGAACTGAGAACTGGAGAGTCTTGACATTTAACACTAGAATCGCCGAATGAAGAAAACACAAATGTCACAGCTTCAGGAAATGTAATGTGCAGCGATGAATGTAATTACTCCTTCCCAGAAATTGCCTATCGATGACTGCTTTGTTCCGACTCATAAAGCAATCAATATTGAAATTGAGTGAGTAATAATTGTAGAAACGGGGAAAGAGTGTTGTAATTTGAAATAATTGCGTGTGATATCCTCAGTAGGGCTTTAGTGTCACACTGTCACTGGAAACAATATTTAAATCATTTTAATATGCTATTAACAATGTGCTCGTTTTGGGCTGCACCAACATCTTTGCCCCCCTTTCCTCCCACACGTATATTTAAGAGGTCACACACTTTTCAAATTCATTGCTGCTATAAATTGCAGATTCTTTTAGAGAAAAACATGATGCAAAAATAGAGAAGCTGCTTGAGGCTCTCCGCTGTCAATGGCTCGAAAGTTTTTGACGTTTTCCAATATATAATCATCGGCTCAGCTTTAACCAGGGGGCCTCAAAAAAAACCTTCACATGCAGAGGACTTTGTCAGCTGTCAACTATGCCGATAAAAGAAAATTGGTACAATTAGAGAATTTGACTTGCTGGGGTCTCCGCAGGGCACTAAATATTTTCTCGTATCGTGCACCTTTGATCAGCCAGTCAATTTGGATGTCTGGACAAAATAGTTTCCTGTGCAACGTAAAATAGACACAATGTCTGGTATTCATACATGTTTCAGTAAATGCTGCATAACGTGCACTTCTAATGTTTCTGTCATCCATTCCAGGTTCTTACGGTGATGGTCGACACTGACAACCGCGACAGAGGACCTAAACCAGCACCCGAAAACGAACGGGGAAAAAGATTGGTCAGCGAGACGCATCGTACGTCTACGACACACGCGATCAGACTCTAAGCCGCGTTGCCCAGCTGTAAGGCGTTAAAGGAGCGGCGCCGGGCCAAAGGTCCCCAAACGCTTCTTAAACAAAAGTTCTAAGGCGCCCAAAAGGTTTTCGCTCCCAAGTTTCACGGACCTGTGTGGAGTTACGTGGACCCGATAAAGAAATGGAGGGATATTAGTTTGGGCCTCGACGCCTGTTTTCTGCTTCCCCATTAACTGCGTGGAGTACCGGGGGCCGGTGGCCGAACTGTTGGCCGCCGCTGGACGGCGCGGCGCGGAGCGGCCGGGGTCCAATCAGAGCGCTGCAGCAGAGCTGATGCCAAAGCCGGGAGTCAGCCATGATGTTTTTATAACCTGATGATCAGCAGAGGTAGGACAAAAAGGTCTTTATTCAGTCATTACTTGTGCACGAATCCCTCAACATTACAGTTCGTTTAATTTACTGTATATTTAGTATGAAGTAATTCAAACTAAATATTTATTATGGTACGCTTTTAAAGTACACGTCTGAATGCTTCAGTAATTAGTGGTGGGATTATATCCCTTTATTTGGATATATTACATCATTTTTGTACATACATCAATAATTGTTTTTATTAATTGATCATTATTTGAACATCTGTATTTGCTCTAACATTCTGACATTTAATAATTTAATACTTTTATTCATCATGTGAGAGTTTTTTTTTCAATTGAATTATTCAGGATTTATATTGAAAATATGAAAACAAAACGGCATGCGTGATTTTTGTTTGGATGAAAGATCAAAGTTGAATCTCTGCGTGGCTTCTCTAGATTAGCGCTGTTGCCTTTAGCGAGAATGGCAACGGGGTGGTGGGAATTCAACTGCTGATAAAATGTTTACGCGGAGCAACAATGTGGTGAGCAGTTCTATGAAAAGTTGCTCTTAGTCATCACTGTTAGAGGAAGTGACTGTGCGTTTGCTGCTTTACCCTCCACGCAAGGGTGGAAAGCGTGTGTGTGTGTTATTCATCGAGAAAGAGTTGAGGAATGGCTTCAACTTTACTGAGCAGTTGGCTGCAGCGTAACGCGGTTCAGCGAGCCTCATTAGCAGCACAGCTCATTAGTTCCTTACCCTCTTTAAAGTTGAGTGGCTGCATCTCGCTCAGCCGTCTGATCGGCGAGGTAAGATCACATGCGCAGGAGGCCAAGTCATTTCTACCAGCCGCGTCTCGTTAAGTGAACCTCCCTCACATAACTATGTCAAATTGTCACCTGCAAATACTGCAAACTTTTACTGCATGGGGGTAATGTTGATAAATATTAGCGGTGTCAACCTGTTAGATTAGTGATGAACCAGATGCCCCTTTGCCCCCGGCCATCGTTATTTGAATATAAAAAAAGGGATTCTAACTTTCATTCAGTTACGCTGTGTGTGGAAACATGCATGTGAGAGACGTGGTTTTTGTAGAAAAACGTATGATGTACTTGTACAAACCATACTTTGCTGGATCCAAAACATGTGCACGCACACACATGCGCGATATGTTTAGGACCGCTTTGACTTTTTTTCCCCCCTTGGTCAGCAGTTGCACCTACGCTGCACAACAAACTGCTGTGTTATCCTTCGACACCTGTGTCACCACATGCACACTGAGGCGCTCTCCCACTGTTTCCTCTCTCTTTTTCACTCAACCGCATTGTCCTTTTACTTATTTTCCTTCCTTCTCATACAGTTTTTACTGTAAAATAAAAATGAAGAATAAAATTGTCCAAAGTGAGGCTTTGGGATATTACTTCTGGAAAGAGATTGAGTTTTACAAATATATTCATAAAAGTCCATTTACTCTAATGCTATTCGCGTAGTGGCAGAAGTCACAAAGTTATATTTCTCCAAATCTCCTCAAATAAAGTGTGAGGCCAAAAAAATAATTGGAGAAAAATGTTTTCTTTGATCTAACCCTTTCAGGGGGATTCATTGGCTTACTTGCATGTGTGCTATTGATTTTTTGAAACTGCCTTATTTCTGTATTTAAACAGAGTTTTGGCGTATTTATTTAAAAAAAAATTATTGTTCTGTTATTTGTCTGCATAGTCTGAGTGTGTGGCACCAGCTACCTACGTAGAAGCGTGTGTGTTTGTGTGCGTTTTTCATTATGTGGCTTTGCTGGCTGATGTTGTTCAGCGGGGAAGATCGTCTTTGAGCAGCGTGATGCTTTTAGCTGTGGTCTGTTTGTGCGCGTCCCGCTGTGTCTACCCACATCTACAGTATGTGTGCATCCCTTCAACCGTGTATGGATGCATGTGCATACACGGCTGAAAGGATGCACTTAAACACACACGCGTCTTAGAAAGCTGAAGAATGCGGAGTAGAGACGATTCAGTCAAGTTTGACTTTCATGCTACACACAGAGACAGCTTTCAGTCTATAGTTGTGCGTGTGGGAAAGAAACAAATAGCCATTCATCATTGTGTCGAGAGGGCATTACACTTCTGTCCCTCAAACCCACTGACACAGCAGGTTTTCCCTCTTTGTCCGTCACATCCAAAAACAACTATTAATTCCAATTAGGGCTTATAAATTATGCCAACAAGGATTAATACAGGAGGTGTCACCAGATGCCATGGCAATTTATGACTTAATTTGTTGGTGTGTTAATGATCAGCTTGTTTAAAGGTCAGCGAATCAATCAAAAATCAAAGTGGTGTGTGTGTGTGTGTGTGTGTGTGTGTGTGTGTGTGTGTGTGTATGTGTGTGTGTCATGCCCCGGTGGGGCTCAATTCATATCGGGTGACGTTCCCTTCGTCCAGTTACAACGGATATACTCACACTGTCTCCAAGTTTGCACAAATCTTGCGTTGACCCAGCACACTCAACACAACTTGTCCATGCGATTCATTTCCACATCCAAAGTGAATACGAACAACAAATATATGCTGTTCAAAAAGTAGTACATGTAATACAGTGATTATGTGATTTGAAAAACAACACAACACTGTCCTTTTATGGAGAAGTTTCTCTCCAGCAAGTTGGCAGCTGAATATAATAATAATGAGAAATAATAATAATATGTATAGTAATTATAATATAATAATAATAATAATTAACAATAATTGATCTTGACCACTACATTCCTTTGAGCCTGCGGTCATGGCAACAGGAATTATTATTGTTATTATTTAGTTAAACGCCAGCTCCGTTTGTCCGTTGACACCCTCACAGTCAAAACCGGCACTCGCTGCTAAATTTTCCACCGCTGTTTCGAGCGGGCCTTTTTTCACTGTGGGTTTTCCTCAGGAAAGAAAAAATCCAATAGTCCGATAAAGAACAGTAACTAGGCAAAGCAGGAGTAATGGAGCCAACCTAGTTTTCAGAGCCTCCTCCCATTTATCTTTGTCTCTGGCTGTTTCTGCGTTTGAAGCAGAGTTGGGGTTAAAATCCATTATTCAGATTAGGTTAACAACTGACCACACAGCTAAAAGAAGCCCAGACGCACAACTATTGGTTCAGTGTTTCCGTGTCCTTGCTGTATCCTCCGAGCCTGTTTGTGGAAAAGCCCACAGCTCCGCCTGTGTATGTGGGTCTAAATGAGACTCCAACACTCTTAAGTAATGCTGCAAACTGAGTTTTGTGTTGTACCACAGCAGCACTCAAACCCTTGCCTGATCAAAGGAGTATAAGAGTCTCTATGTATGCTTTTGTGTGCTTTCCAAGCCGCAAGACCTGCGTGTGTGTGTCACTACTCGCTCCCACGATAACCAATGCTGCACCCATTCAGCGCCAAATCCCCTCTTTAGGGAGGTTTCCTTGTGTGCAAGGCTACCTTTTTGTGTGCATGAAGCTTGTGTGGGTGTGCAAAGATATGGGTGTGTGTGTGTGTGTGTGTGTTATGTTCAGTTTGGCTGCAACAGCGTCAGTGTGTTGTAGCCAAGTGAACAAGTGTTAACAAGCTCGGTGCAGACTGTATTTATTTAATCCATATGCTGGTGAACTATACAGCTGTGTGCGGCCTCTGGTATGTCTGGGAAGAGAAATCCCCCCACAGATACAGGCCCGTCTCAGAGGTAAAGTCACTGTGGCCAAGTCAGCTTAAATGTCACTGCCTATTTTGAAAAGGTTCCAGAATTTATTATTCAAAACAACAAACAAGCATTATCAACGGAATGGGAGGAAGTAATGTCACTAACGTCCATGGTTTAGATAAGGTAACTACTGAAATGAGCGTGCCAACTGTTGAGTTGATCATAGAGGTTTTTTTTGAGGGGGGTGAACATCAAACTCGCGTGCGGATGACCCTTTGTGGGGGACGACACTGTTACTGTTGTCCTATGTTTTAAACACTCCCCATGAACACACTGATGCCTCTAAAGACCCAACCCGACGTCGCTGTAATTGGAGCTGAGGCGTGACGAACACCGACACGGCGCCGCTGGAGGCCCGGGCTGTGTTGTGCGCGCAGGTCTGGCTGGAGGGAAGGGAGGCAGGGAGAAGCGGAAGCTGGAGTGCGAGGGGGCAGACAGTTTGACCCCGCTGCAGTGAAGCCCAAAGGGACTCTGGTGCTAGCTCTGACAAACACTGGCGCTTTTGTCCACGGGGACGGCCAACGTCAACACAGAATGCTTTTACACGGGATGGACGCTTTCTCGCCATTACCCGCCCTCATGGCTCGTCAGTGAAGCATCCGTGGTCTGTGTACCTTTTTTTTTTTAGTTTGTTTATTAGATTTATTCCAAAGGGTCAGAAACGGGAAAACCACCCGGACTCTCGCTCCTTGCTGATGGAAAGCTGCTTTACCGACAGGAGGGCCGGCGGCTGCTCCGAAAGATGTGCCGTAGCTCGAATTCAGGCTTGGCAGACCCCACTGTGTGGGGGTCTGATCTCAGAGTTTCAGCAATTTGGATTTGTCTTGAGCGGTTTGTATTGCATGGAGGCAGCAGAAGAGGTTAAATGCTGACCACGTGGCTGCATCAATGCTGATTTGCCTTCGCCGGCAGTACTCTCTTTCTCCATCCACTCGTCTGACATTGGAGGACATGGAGTTTGGCCGCGGATCAGCCAGCTGCTAATTATACATGCACAGCGGCTGTTATGGGCAACCTCACGTTCTACAACGTGTCGTCAGAATCTATGCAGATGTATGTGAGCCGCAGTCCCCTGCTGAGGAGACGCAACAAAGACAGGAAGCGCCCCGGGCGGCCGCTGGTCATCGGCAGCCAGATCGGCAGCACCAGCTCGGCTAACCCGGGGCGATAAAGACGGCGGCCGCTGGGAGCGGATAGGCTAGTGGCTAGCGGTGGTGATGCAGCGGAGCGGGCCAGAACAATACAAACAGAGCAGCTGGGGGCGGACAGATGGTTCCAACCGGTGGGCTTCTCTCAGATCCAGGTGCCCGCCGAAGCCAAATGTGA